ATCACTCCTTGCTGATGCAAAAGCCTCCTGCACCGTACTCACTACAGTCCCAGCTCATTACAGTCTCATCTCGTTATAGTCTCAAACGCACTGTACCGACAACTGTGCTGCCGATAGGAGCATCACTCCTTGCTGATGCAGATGCCTCCTGCACCGTAGTCACTACATTCTCAACTCGCCATAGTCCCCAGTCACTATAGTTACATCTCAACGCACCGTACCAACAACTGTGCTGCCGATAGGAGCATCACTCCTCGCCGACGCGGATGCCTCCTGCACCGTACTCATTACAGTCTCAACTCGTTATAGTCTCAACGCACCGTACCAACAACTGTGCTGCCAATAGGAGCATCACTTCTTGCCGACGCTGATGCCTCCTGCACTGCCCCAAAGTCAACCACCTGAACCGTGCCGCGTGATTGGTCCAAAATAATATTGTCGGGCTGCAAGTTGGAACAAAAAAAAGGGTTATGAAGTACGAAAGCAGAGTGCGGCAAAGAACTGAGGAAGGTATCACAGAGCTCGAAAAAACAGCAGACATGAAAGGAAGGAGTGACGTGTCTGAACAAACGGTTTGCCACAAAGTGGAAGATCTTTGTTCTCATTAAGAAAAGTGCTGTTTCGCATATAAAAACAACGTATAAACAGAAGTCAAATGGATAACGAAAACAGAAATTAGCAAAGAAAAAATGCACAATGAGTAGATGGTCTGTCAAGGAACGAGGAACCCTTGATTCAACCCTTAGTAATTACTCATTACATAAATGAAAAGCACAAGTGTAAGTAGAACATACCTTGATGTCTCGATGCACCACGGGAGGCCGAAGCGACTCCAAATACGATAAGACTTCCAAGACCTAGTGATGGTGGTGTGTGTGTGTGTGTGTGTGTGTGCGTGCGTGCGTGTGTGTGTGTGTGTGTGTGTGTGTATGGTATGGTGCATGACATTCAAATACGAAACAGAATAGAGGAAAGTTGGTATTAAGGTGCTAGCGAAGAACTCAATAAAGGAGTCACGCACAGAAGTCGACGTGAACCAATGCCAACAACCACCTCCTGCAACGTTCCTCTCCACCCCTCTCTACCCCTCTCTACCAAGGCAAGTACAACTTGCCCTCCTCAGCCCTTTCTCGAGTCCCAGCTGTGGGCTCACCTCAACACCAACTCTCATGACCTTCTCTCTTCCAAATGCACATCCACCAATCTCATCTCATTGCTCTCTGTTTTTTAGGGGCCTCAAAATTAAACTCTTCACGCTCACCTCAACTCCAACCCTCATGACCTTCTCTCTTCCAAATGCACCTCCACCATTCTCATCTCATCGCTATGCCACCATTCCACTCTCACCTGAACGCCAGTTCGCACCAACTCCTCCTCCTCTGTTCCCCTCCACCCGTCCGCCACCAAAGCGGCCAGCGACTGCCCCACTGTGGTAATTAGGTTTCTCCAGAAGAGACCCGTCAGTTCACCTAGCCCCCTTCTCTCTCTCACCTCAATGCCAATCCGCACCACCTCCTCCTCCGTTCCTCTCCACCCGCCCGCCACCAACGCTGCCAGCGACTGCCCGTGTGCCAAGCGCTGCACGAGATAGAAGGCGCGGTCCGTTGAAGTGTCCTCCTGGATGGGATGTAAAAAATGAGGGAGTGGGTACGTGGAGAAGTGGATATGGGCGGACGGGGATCAATTCCCGCCTGATGGCGACTGACCCTGGGGCAAGCGCTGCACGAGATAGAAGGCGCGGTCCGTTGAAGTGTCCTCCTGGATGGGATGTGGGGATGTGAGGATGTGAAAAGGTGGGGCCTTGGAGAGAGCCTATTTTTGAGTCGACTCAAAAATGAGGATGTAAAAAGGTGGGGCCTTGGAGAGAGCCTATTTTTGAGTCGACTCAAAAATGAGGATGTAAAAAGGTGGGGCCTTGGAGAGAGACGGGAGGGGGTCAAAGGCTGCTTGCCAGTTACTGCCCCTGCGCCGGGCACTGCACGAGATTTGAGACGTATCAAAACACTGCCCCTGCGCCGGGCACTGCACGAGATTTGAGACGTATCAAAACACTGTGTGATGAGGCGATTTTTTAGTCGACTCAAAAATCGCCTCAGCACGAGATTTGAGACGTATCAAAACACTGCCCCTGCGCCGGGCAGTGCACGAGATAGAAGGCGCGGTCTGTTGCAGCGTCCTCCTGATTGGTCAGTCGAGAGATGTGATAATAGCGAGGAGGGGATTGAATGGCAGTGCAGGGATTGTGGGGAGAGAAGGAGAGGGGGGGACCGGGGAGCCTGTCAGCAAGTGGACCTGCGCTAATTGGGGCCGAGATCCGTTGAAAACAGGGAACGAGATTCGTTGAAAACAGGGAACGAGATTCGTTGAAAACAGGGAACGAGATTCGTTGAAAACAGGGAACGAGATTCGTCAGCAAGCCTAACATGGAAAGGGAAAAGGTCCTTGACCTTCTGCTCCAAACGCCCCAGTCGCTTTTGAGAAGTGACACAAGCAATCCAAAATCCTGAAACTGCGATTCACTACGATCAGAAATACGTGACCTCCAAATTTGACCTTGGCAATGGTTATACACCACCATCTAGAGACCTCTGTCCATATTTTTTGCCCTTTTTTGCCGTTTTGTGTGTTCCACACCAGCTTACCTCGAAATAATCAATGTATTGAGGAATGCCAGGATGGTTGAGGCTGCGAAGCACTCTAGCTTCCCTCTCAAATAGGTCCAAATCCTGAGAAAGGGTGAAGCGGACAAGATTGGACGAAGAAAGCAGTAGTTGGCAGTGAAAAGGCAAAAAAATGTAGAAGAATAACAAGGGTGGAAGCAAGAACCACGTTTTTGTTGAACATGTCTGAAGGGAGATTCATAAAAATAAACCACCCACCATCGCAACCGTCCATTCACCTGGCCAGTTTCCATCAACTCAATCAACCGCCCATTCTTGCAACCCACCTTCCACCATCTCAACCGTCCATTCACCCACCTTCCACCTCGTCGCGGACCGCAACGAAATGCATTTCACCGCGACGCGTTCCCCCTCTCCTCCTTCCGCCGTCTCCCCTTCCGCCAACACTTCCGCCTCGTACAGCCTTCCGCTCGACCCCTCCCCCAGCAGGCTCACGATGCGGTACTTTCCGCCCACCACGTCCCCCGCCGCTACGCGCTCCGCGCGTTCCCCGGTTCCGTTAGAGAGCGACGCGCTGGGCGGCCGGCGCAGTAACGGGGATGAAGCCTGTCGTTGCGCGTCGCGACGCGGAGAGGGGGAAAAGGGCGAAATGGGGGAATTGCGAAAGATGCCGCTGCCGCTGCTGCTACCGCGCCGGCTGCTACTACTAATTCCACTCCTGCTGATGCTGCTACCGTCACTCCTGCTAATGCGGCTCGAATTCCCGAAACTTCCCGGAATTGCCGCGCTTGCGGTCCTAAAGTAACGCGCGCATTGCGCAGAGGAGATGGTGGCGCGCGCGGCGGAGGAGGTAGCGGCGGTGGGGCGGAGGCGGAGGAGAGAGCAGGCGCGGGCGGACATCGTGCGGGGAAGAGGCGGAACGCGGGTCTGGGTTCCGCGAAGGAGCCGCGTGTGAGAAACAAAGCAGAATCTCTCAGGAGAAATACCAGGTCCAGAATGCAAGCTGCTATTTCATGAGTATAGTGGATGTGGGGGAAATTGTGCGGGCTGTGAATTCGAGTTGAGCACATGGCTTTCCCCCTTGGGATTCTCCCAAGTCCCGACCAATTGCCCTTCTGACAAAATTGGCACGGCACGTTCGATTGCGCCACGCGGCAAAATCGACAGGGGCGGAAACTCGACTCTGCACACACGCAAGCTTTGTGGTGATTCATGCTTCGTCTGTGGTGTTGCGATTGTAGCGGTAGATTATGGACCAGGTTACAGTAAGAACCTCCTGAAATATATCAATTCTACATCCACATGAAAGGTCTGTATCGCATATTCAAGCTACCGGTAGTACAATTCATAGTTACTCTTACCACTACATTCTCATGGTCGCATTGTACCGAGAGAATAGCTACATATCCTGATTACAAAATTCATAGGCAGTTGTGTGAATGTTACACTAACAATCGATTAAAAAATGCGACATACTAAATTTAACTAGAAACGTATGGCGCCCGCTTTTGGATCGGCGTTGTGCCAATGCCGTCTCGAACAGACGATTCACCACTGCTGCTGTCAGCCGTCGATGTGATTGGTCATTGCTGCTGCCAACCGTTGTGCTGTCAGCAATTAATGCTGTCAGCCGTTGATTAAGCTGGCCATCAATGTCGTTGTCAGCCGTTGATGGAAACAAGGCCAGAGCAGTCTCACTGGATTGTCGTACGTAACACGCGGTTACACCAGCACTCTCACAGCATGCCCTGCTGTGACTCCATGCACTAAAACTCACTCCACCAATTACCCCCTGCCTAGGCTGCTGTCGCACACTGCTGCTACCACGCGTTACCATGTTGCCCGGACCATGGATGTCGCTTTTTTACCACACATCACACCACCACCCTCAGCATGCCCGGCTGTGTCTCCATGAACTGCACTCGCTCCTCCACCAGATGCCGTTGCTATGCGTTACCACACGTTACTGCAGTTACCATGTTACCACACATCACACAGCACCCGTAGCATGCCAGGCTGTGTCTCCATTAACTGCACTCGCCCCTCCTCCACCATATACCACTCCACTTCCCAGCCTGCTCTTGCACACTGCTGCTGTCACATGTGTTACCATGTTACCACAGGGCACTCTCACCAGTCTCAGCTGCCCATCACACCACCACTCTCATCCCAGCATGCCAGGCTGGGCCTCCATGAACTGCACTCACTCCTCCTCCACCGTACGTGTTACCATGTTACCACATGTTGCACCACCACTCTCAGCATGCCGGGCTGTGTTTCCACCACTCTCACTCCACCAAATACCGCTCCACTGACTACCCTGCTGCCGCACACTGCTGCTGCTATACCCTCTACCACACGTTACACTGTTACCACATGTTACACCACCACTCTCAGCATGCCGGGCTGTGTCTCCATGAACTGAACTCGCTCCTCCTCCACCAAATACCGCTCCACTGCCAGTGGCAGGCGAGGGGGCGCTCGGCCCTTGGTGTGGTGGCCCGTGCCCACACACACGTACACCTGCGGGCGAATTGGGGGTTGAGAGATAAGACATAGGGTTGTTGGAGTGGGGTGGCTAGTCTTTGAGGTGCCTCAAGAGTGGCCCTTGGTGTGGTGGCCCGTGCCCACACACACGTACACCTGCGGGCGAATTGGGGGTTGAGAGATAAGACATAGGGTTGTTGGAGTGGGGTGGCTAGTCTTTGAGGTGCCTCAAGAGTGGCCCTTGGTTTGGTGGCCTGTGCCCACACACACGTACACCTGCGGGCGAATTGGGGGTTGAGAGATAAGACATAGGGTTGTTGGAGTGGGGTGGCTAGTCTTTGAGGTGCCTCAAGAGTGGCCCTTGGTGTGGTGGCCCGTGCCCACACACACGTACACCTGCGGGCGGATTGGGGGTTGAGAGATAAGACATAGGGTTGTTGGAGTGGGGTGGCTAGTCTTTGAGGTGCCTCAAGAGTGGCCCTTGGTTTGGTGGCCTGTGCCCACACACACGTACACCTGCGGGCGAATTGGGGGTTGAGAGATAAGACAGAGGGTTGTTGGAGTGGGGTGGCTAGTCTTTGAGGTGCCTCAAGAGTGGCCCTTGGTGTGGTGGCCCGTGCCCACACACACGTACACCTGCGGGCGAATTGGGGGTTGAGAGATAAGACATAGGGTTGTTGGAGTGGGGTGGCTAGTCTTTGAGGTGCCTCAAGAGTGGCCCTTGGTTTGGTGGCCTGTGCCCACACACACGTACACCTGCGGGCGAATTGGGGGTTGAGAGATAAGACATAGGGTTGTTGGAGTGGGGTGGCTAGTCTTTGAGGTGCCTCAAGAGTGGCCCTTGGTGTGGTGGCCTGTGCCCACACACACGTACACCTGCAGGCGAATTGGGGGTACCACTAAAAATCAAGAGACAGCGGTGGTGGAGAGGGATAGGCTTTGAGGTGTTTCACGGATTGACCTTGGTGTGGTGTGGTGCCCCATGCCCACATACATACACCTGGGGGTAAATTAGGGTTAAGAAACAAGAGAGACGGGTGGTGGAGCGTGATGCAGTATCGCCTCCCCCACATGCAGCCTGTGCAGGTCCAACAACCAGACCAGGATTTAGGGCCCAACACGCTTACAAGACCTAAAAGACCCACAACTCCCCCACCAGTCGCCCACCTGCTGTCTCTGCTGGGTGGAGCGAGCAGCGCTGCGCATGGCGGCTATTTCCCGCTTCAGCATGGGTATCACCTCCCCCACATGCAGCCCGTGCAGATCCAACACACCCATATGGGGTCCCATACCTACTTAACATACAACCTCATTCACCCTAATCTCCTCGCCCGCTCACCTGCTGTCTCTGTTGTGTGGAGCGAGCAGCGCTCCGCATGGCGGCTATCTCGCGCTTCAGCATGGGTATCGCCTCCCCCACATGCAGCCCGTGCAGATCCAACACACCCATATGGGGTCCCATACCTACCTAAGATACAACCTCATTCACCCTAACCTCCTCGCCCGCTCACCTGCTGTCTCTGTTGTGTGGAGCGAGCAGCGCTCCGCATGGCGGCTATCTCGCGCTTCAGCATGGGTATCGCCTCCCCCACATGCAGCCCGTGCAGATCCAACACCCGCGCCTCTCCTCCTTCTCCTGCCCCTCCACCCAGGTAGCCTGACGCGGCGTTGCTGAAAAGACAGTCAGATGGGGTTGGGGTTGGGGTTGGGGGTGGGGGTAGGGTGGGGGCGGGGGTGGGGTTTGGGAGATAAGGGGCAGGTGAGGTGAAAAGCATGCAGCTCATGCAGGTCCAGTCCAACACCCGTGCCTCTCCCCCTTCCCCTGCCCTTCCACGCAGGCAACCCGACGCCACGTTGCTGAAAAAACGTGGGCAGCAGAAGAGGAAGGAGATAGGGTTGGCTGGATGCCCTCCATGGGTTGAAATATTTCCACATGGTTGATGGCCTCAATGGATATCGACTCCACCACATCAGCCCATGGAAGCCACCAGCCCATGGATATTTAAAATTCCCAGATCATCAGCAATACCGGGTTCTGAAGATGGCGCCGCTGGCCTTGGCATGAGCTGCCTTCATCTGCTCGTTGTGCCACTGCCCCCGCGCACTCAGTCAGCTCGTTGCTAAGTCAGCTCCTTGGCTGCTGTGCTTCTGCCTCATGCCCTCTCACACTCCTCTTTGTAAGCAAGCAAGCATGCAATCAACGGCAGAAGCAATAACAACAACAGCAGCAGCAGGAGCCATACCGGGTGCGGAAAATGGCATCGCTGGCCTTGGCATGTGCTGCCTTCATCTGCTCGTTGTGCCACTGCCCCCGCGCACTCAGCTCCTTGGCTGCTGCCTTGTTGCCCGCCAAGTAAGCTTGCGTGGCCTGCAGAGAGGGGGGGGGGGGGGGGGGGGGCAACAGAGAGGAGAGGCAGTGATAAGAGGTGTTTCAGATAATGGCCTGGCGGCTGCCTGCCTTGCCTGCCAGCCAGGTACACTTGCGTTGCCTGCACAGCAGGAGGAAACAGGTAAGAAAGCAGAGGAAAAGGCTCTAAAGATGTTGGGATGGTGTTTGGTTTGTATGTTTAATTGGACGGACGTCGTTGGGCATCATGTGTGTCTGCCGGCACACATGACTGTGCTGCCTGGAAGAAAAAAGGCAAGAAGCACTGACCTGCTCGAAGCACGCATTTCGTATTCTCGCATGGTCCCGAGCCTCCTCCCTCATGTCTCCGTAAAGGTTGGCTGGATGGGGAGAAAATGGCATGTGGGAATAAGTAACGCTTTTGAGAATGCTCAAATGGTCCCGAGACTTCTCCCTCATGTCTCCGTATAGGTTGGCTGGATGGGGAGGAAACGGTAAGCGCATGAATAATATTTTTGAGGTGTCCAGTTATCCAATCAATACTCATGCATCAACATACCACACATTCCAAGAGAGCAACAGCACTGCAGCATTGCAGCATTCACTTGTGAAAATTGTCAAAAGCGATTCAAGCATGCTCACCAACAGCATTGCCAGTTTCCAGCCATGGCTGTGCACCTCCTCTTCCTGCAAACTCATACCCTCCTCCTCCTCCTCCCCCTCCCCCTCCTCCGCCTCCCCCTCCCCCTCTTCGCCCTGCTCCGCCCATACCCCCCTCCCCTCCCCCGCTTCTCTCCGCCTGCCCACCCCCCCACGCGTTCTGAGTCGCTGCCCCCGGGGGTAACGGCTTTCGCAGCACCCCGGCGAAATCAGGAACAGAGCCTTGCATTGGGCGAATGTCAGGGGCTTGAGAGGAGGGGCGGGGGCGGAGCATGGGGGAGGAGGAGGCAGGGGGGTCTAGGGGGGAGAGAGAGGGGAAGTCGAGAGAGTCGAGGGAAGGGGGGTGTGCTGAGGGAGGTGGCGGGCGGCGGTGGGTTGGCGATGGGAGGGTCATCTCGTCCTGAAGCTGTAATGGAAGAGAAACCATAAAGGAAGAAGAGGGAGGAGAAGTCCAGAGAGTCAAGAAAAAGGGGGTGCGCGGAGGGGGGTGGGTGCTGTCGGAGGGTTGGTTGGTGATGGAAAAGTCATCTCATACTGGAGCTGTGAGGGAGAGAGAGAAACAAAAAGGGAGGAAGAGAGAGCGGGATAGATGAGCGAAACAAAAAAGGTTGGTGGGTTGGTGACAAGAGAGTCATCTCGTCCTGGAGCTGTAAGGGGAGACAAACAAAAAAGGGAGGGAGAGAGAGAGGGTTGAGCTTGCATCAATATAGGACGAGAGCAGGTGGGTTTGGTACGGATGTCTACGAGCGTCACACATCCCCAACCGCACACCAGCAGCATACACCCTAATCACATAGACCCCAGCTGAACCGAATTGAACTCATGCCAACCGCACAGCACACCTGCAGCTGGGTGAGGATCTCCATGGTCCGAAAGAGATCCGCGCCGTTGGAGAAGAAGATCTCAGCCAGTGTGCTTATACTGAACATGGGGAACTCTGTAGCGAGTATGCGCACAGGATCGTGCCGATCGTCGCCGCCCACCCCTTCCTCCGGTCCCCCCCACCCAACTGGCATCGACATTGCTCTCTCTATCACTCCCCCGCCTTTCCCCCCCCACATGCCATCCCCTCCCCCTGGCCCCCCCATTCCCCCACCTCCCCCCATCCCTCCGCCCATCCCTCCCCCCATTCCTCCCCCCATGTCCCCTCCCCCTGCCGGACCGGGGAGTTCAAACGGTGGGGGATGCATGGCCCTCGGGTCAGCATTTGGGGGAGGAGGATAACCCCTGGCAGGGCTGTTGTAGGGGTGATGCATTGGGGGAGGGGGAGAGGCAGCGCCGGGTAACGGCATGGACATGGATGTTACAGGGTTACCACCGAATCGGGAGAGGGGGCCTCCAGGGGAGGCGTAGGGAGGAGGGCCCCTGGCAGGGCTCTGTTGCGGACTCATGTGGTTAGAGTTAGGGTTAACCCCGCCATACGGGGGGTATCTGTTGGGTGTGCCCATGGGAGAATGGGGTACTCCTCCGCGGCCAATCACAGGGCTGGAAGGAACGGGACCAACAGAGCCAGGTGGCCCGCCAGGTGGGGGCCCAGGTGAAAACCCAGGTGGGCCTGGGGCAGGTCTCCAGGCAGGGCTAGGGGCGTTTCGAGGAAGCAGGTGGGAGGGAGGAGGACCGTGATAGGGAGCGGAAGGGTCATAGGAAGGTTCGAAAGGCCTGTCAAGGGAAGCTTCGTAGGAAGGTCCCTGAGCTGGGGAGCCCATGAGAGGGCCAGCAGGCGAGCGATGCGGCATGTGGTGGTGCTGGCCAGGTCCGGAGAGACTGAGAGCGGTGCGATGCGGTGCAATGTGGTCTAGAGCCGAGTCTGACTTAACCTCCTCGAGAATATTCCCCATGGATTGAGCTGCAGGGGGGCCACCAGGAGGGCCTACGCCCTGCCGGAAGGAGTACCCATATCCTTGCCTGTCAAAACTGTCTGGACCGCCAGAAGGAGCAGCACCACCAGCACCCCCAGCAGCAGCCGAACTGGACATGTGACCGCTATCGAGAGAGGGCATGCTAGCTGCATGGCGGTGCAGGCTGTTTCCACCCACACCAACCCCCCCACCCCCACCAACATCCATCTCCATCCCCATCCCTCTCTGCAAAAACCCATCCCTACCATCTCCCCCACTCCTCCCATCCCGCCCACCCCCTCTCCCTTTCGGCGACTCGTCGAAGCTCAGAAGCTCATCCGGCAAGCGGTCGCGCCAGAAGCGGCGGTATTCATCATCAGAGGCGTTGCTGTTGTGCGACTGTGACCGGCTCAACAGCTCCTCCTCGCACTCCTCAAACGTTTCATCTGCTGCTGCCCCACCGTTGTACCCTGCTGGACCGCTGCCCATGCCGCCATACCCGGCTTGCAGTGAGGAAGCATACTCTGCTGCATTACTGCCCTGCAGGAAGGAAGCATATCCCGCTGCTGCTGCACCAGCAGACCCGGCTACACCTCCCGCTGCTCCTGCTCCTCCTCCTCCTCCTCCTCCTCCTCCTCCTCCTGCTGCCGCCGGTTCTGATTGTGACGCAGTGGTGAGGGTAGAAGGAGGGCCAAAGACCGGAACGAACTCTGCTGCGTGGGGGTTGAGGCTCATACCACTCAGATCTAGCGATCTACGGACAGTGGAGGAGGCTGGGGAGGGCGCTGGGGACGAGGAGAGTGAGAGGCGTCTGGTTGCTGCTACAGATGATGCTACAGCTGGTGCTAGAGCTGAGCCTACATTTGATGCTACAGTTGCTCCTATGTTAGATGTTACAGGTGCTCCCTCGGACGACGCTACAGCCGCTGATGTGGAATCTTCTTGAGTGTGTGAGACGGCGGGAGATGATGATGGGTCGAACCTGGTGCAGGGGGATATCCAGTAAAAATGGTAGAGACCATCAAGAAACACAGGGCGAAGCTCAGAGCGGTGCGTGGTACTTGCAAGGAAGGTGTTAAGACACAGATCTTGAAAACATCCAGTCACGGCACAAAAGATACTATTTTACATCAGACTTACTTACCGTGAAGCAGCCCCTTCTCTATCATGCATTGCTCTGCCCTGATTGGCAAGGCCGGAGCCTAACGGAGATGCCTGTAGTGAAGCACTCTGTAGCGGGGATGCAGGAGATGCCTGCGCCTGGGCCTGCTCGGTCATCTTGAGCTTCTGCACCTGATGCAGCAGACCGTCCATGCTGTGCTCTGTGCCTCGCTGCACGATGGGCACGGGAGGACACATGCATGGTAGCGGACACACACACATATGCGTGAGTTGAGATGTAACGAAGCACTCTGTAACAGGGACGCCTGGGCCTGGGCCTGCTCTCAGTCATCTTGAGCTTCTGCACCTAATGCAGCAGACCGTCCTTGCTGTGCTCTGTGCCTCGCTGCATGCATGCAGACACACAAGCCACAAGGCAGCAGATACACGCATATACATGAGTAGTCGTAATGAAGCATTCTGTAACGGGGATGCACCTGATGCAGCAGACAGTCCATGCTGTTCTCTGTGCCTCGCTGCATGCATGGGCCATGGGCATGGGGCAGAAAAAAACAGCAGCAGGCAAACAAGCACGTCCTATTGAATACATACAATGAAAAAACGAGGCTCCTTAGAAGGTCAAGGGCCACTGCCTTGTCTGTCATCATCAAGTTTTGCATTCTTGCAGAAGATTGACAGGAATGTGAACGAATGTGGACGATAGGAGGCAGACGGGGTAAACGACCACTCAGTGAGGCTGATGGAAAGGAAACAACCAGCGAAGAAAGCAAACCAAGTCGTACAAACAGGCTGGGCACAACAAAATAGCAGGAAGAGGGGAAAAGGATGGGTGGGGGGGAGCGGGGATGGAGGAGAGACAGACGCGGGAGGAGGGGGAGAGGGAATACTGACAGCAGGGGAGAGTCCGTGGGAGTCTACAGATGTCTTGCGCTTTCGGCTGCTGGCAGGTGGCGCTGACTGGCTGGTGGAGAGGCTGTAGCATGGGGAGGGAGAAAGCCAGAGAGGGAAATGGGTGCAAGTGAATACCGTGTGTGAGAGACAGATAAAGAGGGCTTCGGCTGCTGGCAGGAGGCGCGGACTGGCTGGTAGATAGGCTGTAGCACGGGGAGAGCTCGAAGGAGACATAGGAGATAGGCAGAAGAAAGACATGGGCGCGCAGCGCAAATGAATATTGACACGTCTCATGGCTAGTTATGCATGTCTCATGGCACATGATGCATGACATGGCACGCATTGCTCATTGCAAGGTACAAGACACATGACATGGCATGGTCCACTGCTCATCCGTGTCTCACTGGCTCATGACACATGCATGGCACACATGGCATGGCATGGCATCGCACGGCATGGCATCGTGTGGCATTGCTCACTGGCCGAGGTACGAGACCGTGTCGCAGCAGGGCGAGTCGAGAAAGTCGGACACTAGCCGCCTCACTGCAGGGGTGGCTCGTGGCGCATGGCATGTCATGGCTCACTGCCTCGAGACGCACGGCATGGCATGCATGGCATGACACGCGATGCATGGCATGGAATGGCACGGCTTACTGGCCGAGGTAAGAGACGTAGTCATCAGTGTCTCACTGTTTCATGACGCATGGAGCACTGTCTCATGATGCATGGCATGGCATGGCACTTCATGAAATGCACAACGTACTGGCCGAGGTACGAGACGTAGTCATCCGTGTCGCAGCAGGGCGCGTCGAGAAAGTCTGACACCAGCCGCTTCACAGCGAGGTTGGCGAGCTTGCGGTCAGCAGCTCGAGGCATCAGCGAGCCACACAAGCGAGCGGATTGGTAACACCGTAACACTGTCAGAAAACCCTATTTGCTGTTGGGCCAATATGAAGTTTGGTACAGAAGAGAGGAAGGAAAAGAGCAAAAGGCAAGATAACGGAACCGCGATCAGATAAGTTAACAATGCGGAGATCCCAATGTGAGGTGACTCGGATTGAAATGTACGTGATCGTGATCCCAATGTGAGGTGACGCTGATGCCAGTTTAGATTCGCGCGTGATCGCGAAGGACTTGGAATTGCCTCATCAGGCTGCTGAGGGACCGACGGAGGGGAATTCAAGAAGCTCAACAATGACCGGGAGGGGATTCGTGACAGAGTGAAACGAGAGAAGCGCACGAACGGCTCACGACGAAAGCATGGTGATTATGAGGGAGAGGCTGAATTCTGAGTCTGCTCAAAAGAGGTCGCCGAGGAGGGGAAGGCAACAGGGGACTCATAGAGTCACTGGGTGAGGGCTGTAGGAGAGGAAGGAGACGCTTTAATTAGCGTTCCTGGTAACGAAAACTGACGGGTGGAGACAACGGAATTTAGGAGAATAATTGCTTACTCTGCAGAAGGAAAAGCTGGGAAAAGGCTGGCCTTCAGAGTGCTGGAATCAGTCAATAAACGTAAAAACAATGGCTTATGCGAATCCAAGGTATGAAGTTAGAGAGCCGCAGAACTAGCCTAAACTGGTAGATCGCCACGCAAATTGGCGGAAGCACTTCCCGACAATTTGACCTACCAACTATTGTGCTAAGCTCCTAAAAGCTTATGGCTGGCCATGGTGAAGCTCGACCATGCAAAGCAGCCCAAGCATGGCAGTTGGGAGCAGCAACTCCCAAGACAAGAGGCCTGCTGCCTTTCCGCTAAAAAGCAGCCCCGTAGCGAATTACATACTAAAGTTTTCACTAACAATGTAGTAAACGATAAACTTTCCAGAAACATGTAAAGCATTGTAAGGTGCAAGTAATTATGTGTATCAAGTTTGGACTCATAAATATTTAATTTAATTCTCTAATGTCTCAAGATAGAACATAATGCATCATAATATCGATATCATATATTTGCTTCAATAAGTAATCAAGACTGATCTATGAAGAAATAGTTAAACATTAATTTATCTTCATATTTTTATATGAAATATTTAAATTTATATAATACATACTAATATGCATGTGTAATACTAAATAATCGCTTACCATATTCTCGTATCAAATAGCTTATTTTACTGTGGTATGGAATGGAGCAGCTCTTATTGCCGTTAATTCATCTGAGTTCCCGCCAAAAGGGAGCCTGCTCCACCTCGAGATTACTGCTGCACCGCTATCAATTCACAGCATCGCCGCTCCATCACACCAACCGCCATTACAACCATCAGTCATCTCGTCGCTTTCTCACCTTTGCCTCCCAGCCAAGTCTTGCTTTCTCCTAACCAAGCACCTCGTCAGGTCAGCTCCAAGTCCAAGCGTCACCATGGCGCCGTTCCGATGCGTAAGCGCGCGGTCACCGCTGCGCGCAACGCTTCCGCACAGTCGAAGCGCGATATGTCGTTCGAGCTTGCCTCCTAGCGGTACACAATGCGACAGACGACAGATGGCAGGTCGCCCCCACGTTCCGCTCCGTGAATCACGGACAACGCCGCTCGTGTGGCGAATAGTTCAAATGCTTTGAATTTCTAACGACGCGAGAAAATAGTCCACCTGGGTCACAATACCTCATTATTCGCCAGCTTTTCCATATCAGAAGCTGCGAAGGCGAAAGTGCCGTCGCGCAGCTGGTCGCACAGGTCGCCGCAGAGATCATCGCATAGGTCGCCGTGCAGTTTGATGAGGTAGAGAATTGATCATCCGTTTTTTCAGGCGCCTCAAATTTCGATGAAGTAGAGTATTGATCATACACGTCACCGCCGCCGAGTTTCGAGATTTCTTTTGAGTTCGGAGACTTCTTGTGTTCTAGGAATCCTCGGGACTTCTCATTTTGAGACGTCTCAAAACTACTCTTTTTACACGTGTTTTGTGAGTTAGGAGACTTCTTGTGATTTCTGAATCCTCGGGACTTCTCATTAACTGTCGTGCAGTGAGATTCAACGATCGGTCGCGCCGTCTTAAGTGTCATCGGCCTCTCAAGGCCGCAGTGCCACTGCTAACGCCACCGCGACCATCATTACCACCAGCATTAGATAGAAACGGCGCACCTGCTAACTGCAGTCAATTCACAAGCAACAGAGAGAGCAATCGAGAATGAGATTAGGAATTCTGAAGGGGATACGGCCGTCCACGGACTCCATGATGGCACGATCAACGGTTAGGATGCCACGAACGGCACCGCCCCCATCGTCACCATCGATTGCATCATCATCGCCGTCGCCAAAGTCACCCCCGTGCGACTTTAGTCGTCTAGAGGAATTCCAATTTCACTTGGCCGATTTTGGCAGATGGGAACACCAAGAAACGCCTGGTTCGGTGCGGCATGAGAAATCTGATGAGACTTTTGGGAGGAGCGAAGAAGAGGTGATTGGTACACTCTGCATGGAAACTACAGCGATTGTTGCTGAGATGAACGTGGGGGGATTTGTGAAAAGGAATCTGGAGGTCGTTGAGTCCAGTCAGAAGTATGGAGGTGTTGTTGAGAGGGATGAGGAGCAGATGGGCAAGAGACGCGTGAGAAACGGGGAAGAACGGAGAAAAACGAACAGCAGTGACGTCACGCGCGGCGCTGTAACGGGAGGAACCCTCGCCTTTGTCACCCTGCTGCTGATGTCAGTCACGTCGGCATTAGCGCAGGCATCACCTGCACCAGCACCGCCTTCCCCTGTAACACCCCTCAAGTCCTTATCATCAGCAGCAGCACCCCCCTTCCGTGTATCGTCACAAGCACCACCACCACCCACCCCTGGATCTTCATCATCATCAGCAGCAGCAGCAGCAGAAGCGGCAGCAGAAGCAGCAGTAGCAGACTCTTCCTCTGCAGCTCACATTTCCTCGTCAGCCCCCTTAGGTGCGGGTAGTGGTCCTGCTGATGCTGCTGCTGGTGATGCTGTGAGAAGCGATGTCATGGCAAGTGGTGCCTCCCTTCCCGCTGGTGAGTTCTGGGGAAAAATGGGAGGACTCGAGATAGGGAAGCACTTAAAGCGGAACACTTGAAGGTGATGGGCGGACGGAGAGAGAGGGAAGCATTGAGGGTTTAGAGGGTAAGGGGAAAGAGGGAAGCGTTTAGGTGATGTGGGAATGGAAGGAGAGGGGTTCACAGTTAAGTGTTGGAGGGAAGGGAATGCTGTTTCGTTCACCCTCCCTTCCTTCCCTGCACTTAATGCCCTTTCCCTGTCATTTTTTTTTCTCGGTTCCCTTTCCTTCGCCTTCTCCTTCCCTTCCCATCCTACCTTTCATATGCTCCCTTCCTCCGCTCTCCAACCTCCCTATTTAGTCTCCCTTGAGGATTCTCAAAACCGATACAAGCACAACCCAAATCTCAAAAGAAATGCAAGCATAGCCAACCATTCAGACACCGCCCATCTCCAATCGACCGCTCAATCACCGCCCATCTCAATCTCGTTCACCTCCCTTTCCGTTTCCCTTCCTCTCCCCTGCCCTCTCTACTATACAAATACATGCCCCTCCACCCCCCTTCCTCCCACAACCAACCAGTCAGGCGCTGTCCCAGTCCCAATGATTCCCCCTCCCCCGATGGACCTTAAATCTCTTCAATGCGTGCTCCCCTCTACACCCTTCTCCATCCTTCTCCACCATTCCCCCCTCACAGCCAACCAATCAGACACCATCCCCGACCCGATAATCCGCCCGCCCCCGACCGGCCCCTTCTCGCTCTCCCCCCTGCCGCCTCCCATCCGCGGACCCATCGTTCCCGCCCCTCCCACTCCGTGCTTCGGGGTCACGGTGGCCTATGTGATAGAGAGCATCATCAACATTCCCTCCGTGTGGAATGGGAGTGTGAAGCCATATGGGTTCAAATCCAAGATCGAGCTACTCAACACCGGCAAGAGGTCAGAACTCCCCCCCTCTTCCTCCTCTCCCTCTTGTTCCTCGCTTCCCCCTCCTCCTCTTCTTCTCCCCCTCCTCTTCTTTCACCCCCCCTGCTCCGTGCTTCGGTGTCACGGTGGCGTATGTGATAGAGAGCATCATCAACATTCCCTCCGTGTGGAATGGAAGCGTGAAGCCGTACGGGTTCAAATCCAAAATCGAGTTACTCAACACTGGCAAGCGGTCAGTCCCCCCCTTTCGTCTTCTTTCCCTCCTCCCCTCTTCGCTTTTTTGTCCTCCCTATTATCTATGCTGGGAATTGGTCAGTACATATGTCTCGAAGCAAATCCTATGGCGGGTGTGAAGTGCTCGTAGGTGGGTGGTGAGGGGGGTAGAGTTCATTACTCAACTGAACCCTCCCTTACACCCTTGCGTCCTTGTGTTTCCCCAACCCCCCAGATTTACTCAACCCCTCTGAATCTCTGGTAATGCAGGGACCTGGTGGGATGGGAAGTGAGGGCGGAGAAAGAAGTTTACTCGCAACAGCCCCATCACTCAACTGTTCCCCCTTGCGTCCCTGTGTTTCCCCAACCCTCTCAAACTCACTCAACCCTTTTGGACCTTTGCACCACAGGGACCTGGTGGGGTGGGAGGTGAGGGTGGAGTTCACTCGCAACGAGCTCATCACGCTGCTGGGGAACGCACAAGTGGAGTTTGAACTGCCGTACCCGGGTGAGACACAATAACATTTTGAGCTGCTATAGCCAGGTGAGCCTGTTTTCCCTTCAACACACCCTCGCAACGAGCTCATCGCTCTTCTGGGGAACGCACAAGTGGAATTCGAACTGCCATACTCTGGTGAGATGTGCCAGACAATACACTCCCTCTGTTACCCACCCTGCTTAATTGCCCATTCTGGGTTTACCTACCTGCCAGCGTGTGTTCACTCACAACGAGCTCATCACTCTGCCTTGGAACGCTCAAGTGGTGGAAGCGCCGTACCCTATGTTTTTTTAGAATTCTCAAAAAACATACGCTCAAGTGGTGGAAGCGCCGTACCCTGACGAGATGCCATGGTGTTGTGAGCTGCCGCCGCTCTGCACTGCTCTTCTTCTTCTCCAGCATTGACAGCTGGAGAGCAACCGCCTCATCACTGCACGTGATGCATCAGATCCCCAGACCCCTTCCCCAACTCTTCACGTCCCCCCTCCCCCCTTGCTTTCGTGTCCCATGCACACATCCCCCCCCCCAAACACACACATACTGCTCTCAGGTTCTGCACTCCTCTTCTCCAGCAGTGACAATCAGCGCGACTGCCCCATCATTGCATGCGACAAAGGCCAGAAGAGACGCTCGCACTACCTTCCGCCTTCCCCCCATTCCTTCCTTCCTGAACCCCCCCGAATCCCCCTGCCACCCTCTCCACAGGCTCCGCTCTGCTCTTCTCCAGCATTGACGACCAGAGCGACCGCCTCATCACGGCGATCCACGCGGGCGGCGACGTTCGGCAGTATGTGGTGTTTGCGGAGGTGTTTGGCACGGAGTTTGGGGCGGCGGCCGCCAGCAAGGCGCTCCCGCGCACGCTCTACCTCACCACACCAGGTGCGTGCGTGAAGCAAATCTTACTTCACGTACTGAGTGGGACTATTAGTTACCTAGTCTTTACGTGTGGAGTTTGGGGCGGCAACTGCCAGCAAGGCGCTCCCGCGCACGCTCGACCTCACCACACCAGGTGCTGGAACTGATTTACCACGTCTCAGCCACTCATCTCTCCTGCGCTCCTCCCCTTCTCTGTTGCAAGTTTTTTGCTGTGCATGAAACCCCAAATGGAACTTAATGCTTTCTATCACCCCCCCCCATCAATTCAACGCCCTACTCAGAACTCTCTGTCGTTTCTGCCTCCCTGCCAATCCCCCCAAGCCCCCATCTCCCCTCCCCTCCCTCCTTTCTTCCGCTGCAGGCTTCCACTGTGCATCCAACCGCCCTCAGTTCCCATCTCCCAACAGAATCCAGGTGAGGTTGCAGTCAAAACACTTGCCTTTGCGTCCCTTCAATCCATCAATCCATGAACGCGCTCCTACTGCCTCCAGTTCTTCTCCTTCCAACCCCAGCCAACTTGCTGTCCTTTGATTGTTGCGGATCCTCCCTTCGCCCTGTTGCTGACCCCTCTTTTCCTGTTTTTGGATCTGCCTTCCCATCCTATCCCCGCCCAGGTCTGCTGTAGGGAGACCTCCTACCCGCCTCCCCCACCTCCTCGCCCCCCTCCCCGCCTCCCCCCGATCGTCCCTGCTTTGACGGTCCAGATCGACATCACAGCAGCGAGCGATATGGACCATCAGATGCTCGTCACAATCAGCAACCTGCAGGCGGACAGGCGCGTTGGGCCACCAAGGAACGACCCCTGGGCGCTCAGCTGGCGATGGACGCAGAATGAGGTACAAGGGGGGTAGGCTTGGCTTGGGTTTCAGGGTTTAGGGTTCAAAAGCTGGGGGTTATGGTTTGAGGAAGGTTTTGAGACGTCTCAAAACAGGGTTTAGGGTTCAAAAGCTGGGGGTTTTGGTTTGAGGAAGGTCTGGAACCTGGGGTACCAGATGCTCGTCACCATCAGCAATCTGCAGCCTGACAGGCGCCCTGGGCCCCCGAGAAACGAGCCCTAGGCCCCCGAGAAACGAGCCCTGGGGCCCCGAGAAACGAGCCCTGGGCCCCCGAGAAACGAGCCCTGGGCGCTCAGCTGGCGATGGACTCAGAATGAGGTCGGAGCTAGGGCTTAACGTGGCGGATGGGAGGTGAGCACGGGTTCGGGTTCAAGGTGGGGTAAGGTGCTTGCAGGCTGAAAGGCGCGTTGGGCCCCCAAGAAACGGACCCCTGGGCGCTCAGCTGGCGATGGACACAGAACGAGGTGAGGAGGGCTGTGTGTGTCTTGGGGTAGAAGGCTTCGGGTTTAGGGTTTCTGGTCACACAAGCCACACAGCAGGGCAACTGCCAGCAGCAATCAGCCTCCTCTGCAGTCTACGGAGCAGACATCGCCACCGCCCACTCGTGCTCCCGCCACCAAACTACCCACTCTCCCAGTCCCAACCCGACCCCCTGTCCTGCCCTACACACGCATTCCTCCTCGCCCCTCTGTTGCATTCAGATCGTGTGGGAGGCGTACGGAGCACAGGTCACAAAGCCGGGCAACTGCCAGCTGCAATCCGCCTCTTCTGTCGTCTACGGCGCAGCCATCGCCACCGCCCACCCGTGCTCATACAACTCTATCTTCCCACACTTCCATGGTTCATTCCCAACGCCCCTCTGTTGCCTGCAGCTTGTATGGGAGGCGTATGGCGCACAGGCAACACAGCAGGGAAATTGCCAGCAGCAGTCCGCCTCTTCAGCAGTCTACGGAGCAGCCATCGCCACCACCCACTCCTGCTCCTGTCTCCCCCTCTCTTCCCACACCCTCTTCCCCTCAGATTGTATGGGAGGCATACCGAGCACAGGCCACCCAACAAGGCAACTGCCAGCAGCAGTCCGCCTCCTCTGCTGTCTACGGAGCAGCCATCGCCACGGCCTGCTCGTGCTCCTGTCTACCCTTCTCTTTCCATGCTCCCCTTCACTTCCCATCTCCCTCTGTTGCTCTCAGATAGTCTGGGAAGCATCTGGCGCACAGGCCACCCAGCAAGGCAACTGCCAGCAGCAGTCCGCCTCCACAGCCGTCTACGGAGAAGCCATCGCCCGCCCACACCTGCTCCTGTCCACCAAACTACCCACTCTCCCAGTCCCAACCCGACCCCCCGTCCTGCCCTACACTCGCATTCCTCCTCACCCCTCTGATGGCTCTCAGATTGTCTGGGAAGCATATGGGGCACAGGCGACCCAACAAGGCAACTGCCAGCAGCAGTCCGCCTCCTCTGCAGTCTACGGAGCAGCCATCGCCACCGCCCACTCCTGCTCGCCACGGCCCGTCTTTGTGGATTTACCAGGAGGGGTGTATGGCAGTGAGAGTGGGCGGGACCTGGGGGCTTCCCTGGGAGTGCGCCTGTCGTGCTGCAAGAACGGCTCTATTGGGCTGCGCTCGTTTCCCTACGGCGACCCTGCTCTTGCCCAGTATCAGGTGAGGTCTAGAGGGGCTTCACTCTCACACACACTCATGCTCGCCTTGCGGCCTGTCTTTTGTGGATCTGCCAGGAGGGGCGTATGGAAGTGAGAGTGGGCGGACCTGGGGCCATCTCTGGGAGCTCGTTTGTCGTGCTGCAAGAACGGCTCGATTGGTCCGCACTCCTTTTGAGGCGCCTCAAAAGTCATCTCTGGGAGCTCGTTTGTCGTGCTGCAAGAACGGCTCGATTGGTCCGCACTCTTTTTGAGGCGCCTCAAAAGTCATCTCTGGGAGCTCGTTTGTCGTGCTGCAAGAACGGCTCGATTGATCCGCACTCCTTTTGAGGCACTCATGCTCGCCTTGCGGCCTGTCTTTTGTGGATCTGCCAGGAGGGGCGTATGGAAGTGAGAGTGGGCGGACCTGGGGCCATCTCTGGGAGCTCGTTTGTCGTGCTGCAAGAACGGCTCGATTGGTCCGCACTCCTTTTGAGGCGCCTCAAAAGTCATCTCTGGGAGCTCGTTTGTCGTGCTGCAAGAACGGCTCGATTGGTCCGCACTCCTTTTGAGGCGCCTCAAAAGTCATCTCTGGGAGCTCGTTTGTCGTGCTGCAAGAACGGCTCGATTGATCCGCACTCCTTTTGAGGCGCCTCAAAAGTCATCTCTGGGAGCTCGTTTGTCGTGCTGCAAGAACGGCTCGATTGGTCCGCACTCCTTTTGAGGCGCCTCAAAAGTCATCTCTGGGAGCTCGTTTGTCGTGCTGCAAGAACGGCTCGATTGGTCCGCACTCCTTTTGAGGCGCCTCAAAAGTCATCTCTGGGAGCTCGTTTGTCGTGCTGCAAGAACGGCTCGATTGGTCCGCACTCCTTTTGAGGCGCCTCAAAAGTCATCTCTGGGAGCTCGTTTGTCGTGCTGCAAGAACGGCTCGATTGGTCCGCACTCCTTTTGAGGCGCCTCAAAAGTCATCTCTGGGAGCTCGTTTGTCGTGCTGCAAGAACGGCTCGATTGGTCCGCACTCCTTTTGAGGCGCCTCAAAAGTCATCTCTGGGAGCTCGTTTGTCGTGCTGCAAGAACGGCTCGATTGGTCCGCACTCCTTTTGAGGCACCTCAAAAGTCATCTCTGGGAGCTCGTTTGTCATGCTGCAAGAACGGCTCGATTGGTCCGCACTCCTTTTGAGGCGCCTCAAAATTCATCTCTGGGAGCTCGTTTGTCGTGCTGCAAGAACGGCTTGATTGGTCCGCACTCCTTTCCCAACGGGACCCTGCTCTCTACCAGTACCCAACCCCGAATGGTCCGTCGTATTAATAAGCGACATGCATACAAGCATATAAGGCTGACAGTGAAGCAATCACCCCCCTCCTTCATGCAAACCCCATTTTCTTCTCCGATCTCCATCAGTTCCTCTCTGGCTCAGTTCCGACTTTTGAGGCGCCTCAAAAGTCATTTTTTTCTCCGATCCCAATCAGGGCAACACCTCTATGGCTCAGTTCTGCCTCCGCATCGGCCGAACACGGCAGTTCAATGCCATTCCCTCCATCGCCCCACCTTGTTCCTGTCTGCACTTCAGCCCTCCCTCCTCCATGCCATGCCACCAATCCCCCCTTCATGCAACCCCGCTCCCCTCCCTTTTTCTCCGATCCCGATCAGGGCAACACCTCTATGGCTCAGTTCCGCCTTCGCATCGGCCGAACACGCCAATTCAATGCCATTCCCTCCATCACCCTACCTCCATCTTCTAATCCCCTACTCCACCCAACCTGCCTTCCCCCCTTCTATCTCCATCAGGGCAACACCTCCTTGGCTCAGTTCCGTCTGCGGATCGGCCGCACACGCCAGTTCAAGGCCATTCCCTCCATCTCTCCGCCGCGCAACCTCTCACTCAGCCTCCCGGGAATAGTATGCTCTGCTGGTGTTCGCATCGACCCCACCCAGTTCCCAGTGAGTCAATGTAGTAGGCACCCTTGTTTTGAGACGTCTCAAAAATGTAGTAGACACCCTTTTCACCTCGAATCTAGCAGACACTAGGTGTCTATATGTCACGTCCATTCCCTCCATCGCCCCACCGCGCAACCTCTCACTCGGCCTCCCGGGAATAGTCTGCTCTGCTCCTCTGCTGTCCGCACTGACCCCACCCAGTTCCCCGTGAGTCGATGTGTCTTTTGAGACGTCTCAAATGTGTCTCAGATAAAATCCCTCTGACCCCGTCCCGTTAAAGGTCTCAAGGCCATTCTTACCATCACCGTGCATTGAGGTGTATTTTGAGGCGCCTCAAAATTGTCCCCGTTAAAGGTCTCAAGGCCATTCTTACCATCACCGTGCATTGAGGTGTATTTTGAGGCGCCTCAAAATTGTCCCCGTTAAAGGTCTCAAGGCCATTCTTACCATCACCGTGCATTGAGGTGTATTTTGAGGCGCCTCAAAATTGTCCCCGTTAAAGGTCTCAAGGCCATTCTTACCATCAACCCGCCTCACAATCGTTCTCTCAGCCTCCCAGAATCGTCTTCTCCACTGCTGTTCACATCGACCCCTCACAGCTCTCTCCTCTTCCCCCTCCCCCTGCCCACTCCCTTTCTCCCCTCCCCCTCCCCCTCCCCCTCCTCACTCTTCCAATCCCACCAGGTAAACCCCTCCCGCAACCTATCAGTGGTCGCCACGTGGCGCTACCACCTGCTGTGTGTGCTTCTCTGCTGCTTTCAACACCACCGGCTCCCCCAAGGGCAACTGCGGGAGGAGCGTGCTTAACTTGGGGGGAATTGACCCATCATCTTTCTCCTCTGCAATGAACGGCATCGCCGAGCGAGCGAACCGGACAATCATGGAGACGGCGCGTGGGTTGCTCATTGACCCATCATCTCTCTCATGCCCTTCCTCCTCTCCTCCTTTTCTCCACCTTACCTCATAATGCCCTCCCTACCTTCCCTTCTCCCCTCCTTCCCTCCTCCCCTCCTTCCCTCCTCCCCTCCTTCCCTTCCCCTCTCCCTCCTGAAACCCTCTCTCTTGATGCGATTCAGATACAATCTTCGATACGATTGGTGGGAGGGGCGATGTGGTCCCTTCCAAGAAGTTTCCCAGCTGGTACGGCCAGGACCGAGATTTTATTTCTGCCCGGTGCCGCGACAGCTGCCCGATCCACCTGCACTGGCACGTGGTGGCAGTATATGAGGACGGATTTGTTGCCAAGGTGGGTTTGATGCTGTTTCTTCCTTCACAGCACATCGGGTTCATTCACATGCACTGGCATGTCATGGCCGTGTATGAAGATGGGTTTGTTGCCAAGGTGGGTTGGAGATTGCCCTTCCTTCATGTCATCAATGCACATACACATGCCCGATCCACCTGCACTGGCATGTCATGGCCGTGTATGAAGGTTGCAAAGGCGGGTTTAGGTTTTCCCACCCCAAATGGCACACCAGTTCATGAACATCCATTGCCCTGCCATGGCCGTATACGAAGGCGAGTTGGTTGTGAGGGGACTCGAATCGAAACCAATCTGTGATACGCATGGCTTTTTGAGACGTCTGTAAACCTTCAGTGGCATGTGATGGCTGTGTGCGAAGGCGGATGGGTCGCCAAGGTGGGTTCGCTCGCTGTTCCTGTTGCTCCATGCTTTACCTTTCATGCATGCGTGTTTTTTTAGTTGACTCACAAGTCCATTTTTTCTTTCAGTTACGACTGAGGATGTTTTGCATGTAATAATGCACTTCACCGCCCAAATATAAATATATATATATATATTTATTTATTTATTTATTTTCATCGCCAACACCAATGCCCCCCTGTTGTCCCCCCCACTCCTACCCACCACCCGACCACATGCTATCAGCTGAGCATCAACAACCGGGGGAACAACAGTGTCTCTGACTGGGTAGTGCTCATTGTACTCGTCCTCTCCCCACCCAAATGTCCCCCTGTTTTCCCCACCACCTATCTCCTCCCCACCACCTATCTCCTCCACACCACCTATCTCCTCCACACCACCTATCTCCTCCACACCACCTATCTCCTCCACACCACCTATCTCCTCCACACCACCTATCTCCTCCACACCACCTATCTCCTCCCCACCACCTATCTCCTCCACACCACCTATCTCCTCCCCACCACCTATCTCCTCCACACCACCTATCTCCTCCCCACCACCTATCTCCTCCACACCACCTATCTCCTCCCCACCACCTATCTCCTCCCCACCACCTATCTCCTCCCCACCACCTATCTCCTCCCCACCACCTATCTCCTCCCCACCACCTATCTCCTCCACACCACCTATCTCCTCCCCACCACCTATCTCCTCCACACCACCTATCTCCTCCCCACCACCTATCTCCTCCCCACCACCTATCTCCTCCCCACCACCTATCTCCTCCACACCACCTATCTCCTCCACACCACCTATCTCCTCCACACCACCTATCTCCTCCACACCACCTATCTCCTCCACACCACCTATCTCCTCCACACCACCTATCTCCTCCACACCACCTATCTCCTCCCCACCACCTATCTCCTCCACACCACCTATCTCCTCCCCACCACCTATCTCCTCCACACCACCTATCTCCTCCCCACCACCTATCTCCTCCACACCACCTATCTCCTCCCCACCACCTATCTCCTCCCCACCACCTATCTCCTCCCCACCACCTATCTCCTCCACACCACCTATCTCCTCCACACCACCCTTTCCTTCAGCTGAGCATCATCAACCGAGGCAACAGCAGTGTGTCTGACTGGGTAGCGCTCATCGCCCTCCCTTCCATCGCCAACACCTCTGCCATCTACTCCTTCGGATACGCCAACGTCTCTGGTACGACCCTTTCTTGGAGAGACTCTTGTCATTGAGAGACTCTTGTCTTTGAGACACTCTTGTCTTTGAGGCCCTCCCGTTGAGGCTCAAGGCTTAGCCCATGCCGCTTAGGGTCGTGTGCACCAGTGTCTGACTGGGTAGCGCTCGCTCATCACACTCCCTTCCATCGCCAACACCTCTGCCATCCACTCGTTTGGATACGCCAACGTGTCTGGTACGACCGTTTACTCAAGGTGCCGTCTAGGGTGGGTGCATCAGTCTCTCACGGGCTCATCGCCCTCCCGTCCATTGCCAACACCTCTGCCATCTACTCGTTCGGATACGCCAATGTCTCTGGTGCGACCCTCGCTTTGAGACCCTCTCGCTGACATCCTCCCAAGGTTCAGGCTGGTGCGCTCCAGTGTCTGACTGGGTAGCACTCATCACCCTCATCTGGCAGCAACAGCTGGCTGCAAGACAAGCCTCATCGCCTCAAAGCACCTCTGTCCCCTGTGCTTTACCCCTTCCCTTCCCCCGTCCCCTTCCAGCCACCTCCCCGCGTGCTTTCCGACTTAGCAGGCAGCAACAGCTAGCTGGAAGTCACGCTGCCGCTAGAGGCATGCATGCTAGCACCTCCCAATATCTCTGCCCCTTGTTTCTGTGCTGTATTATCATCCCTCATCACACCCCCCTTTCCCCCCTCTACAGTCACATCCCGTGTGCTCTACGGATTCACAGGCAGCAGCAACCGGCTGGGTGGCATGCCTCATCCCCTCAAGACACGTCTGTCCCCCCTGCTCTGCCCCTCCCCCTTCCCAGGCCCCTTACAGCCACCTCCCACGTGCTCTACGGTTTCAGAGGCAGCAACAGCTGGCTGGAGGGCACGCCTAACCTCCTCAAGGCACATGTGCTCCCCCTTCTTCCCCGTGCTCTGCCCCACCCCCTTCCCCCTCCCCCGTTACAGCCACGTCCCGCGTGCTATACGGCTTCACAGGCAGCAGAGCGTTTTCAAGGATTGGAAACAGGCTGGTGGGTGGGGATGAGGTGATGCAATCGCAATTGCAAGAAGATGCAGTGATGCGCATGGGGTGAAAGATGGTTGCGGAGAAGCAAGTGCAAGGGAGCGTCATGGAGGATGAGGTGGTGTGTGGTGCCAGAGGGGTGGGCGCAGCAACCGGCTGGGTGGCATGCCTCATCCCCTCAAGACACGTCTGTCCCCCCTGCTCTGCCCCTCCCCCTTCCCCGGCCCCTTACAGCCACCTCCCACGTGCTCTACGGTTTCAGAGGCAGCAACAGCTGGCTGGAGGGCACGCCTAACCTCCTCAAGGCACATCTGCTCCCCCTTCTTCCCCGTGCTCTGCCCCACCCCCTTCCCCCTCCCCCGTTACAGCCACGTCCCGCGTGCTATACGGCTTCACAGGCAGCAACAGCTGGCTGGAAGGCACACCGAACCCCCTCAAGGCGAAGACCTTTGGCAACGTGCAGAGCGTTTTCAAGGTGGGCTGGGGTTAGTGTGGTGGGCTGGGGTTAGTGTGGTGGGCTGTGTTTGTCTGTGTGGTGGGCTGGGGTTAGTGTGGTGGGCTGTGGTTAGTGTGGTGGGCTGGGGTTAGTGTGGTGGGCTGGGGTTAATGTGGTGGGCTGGGGTTAATGTGGTGGGCTGGGGTTAGTGTGGTGGGCTGGGGTTAGTGTGGTGGGCTGGGGTTAGTGTGGTGGGCTGGGGTTAGTGTGGTGGGCTGGGGTTAGTGTGGTGGGCTGGGGTTAATGTGGTGGGCTGGGGTTAGTGTGGTGGGCTGGGGTTAGTAGTGTGGTGGGCTGGGGTTAGTGTGGTGGGCTGGGGTTAGTGTGGTGGGCTGTGGTTAGTGTGGTGGGCTGGGGTTAGTGTGGTGGGCTGTGGTTAGTGTGGTGGGCTGTGGTTAGTGTGGTGGGCTGTGGTTAGTGTGGTGGGCTGTGGTTAGTGTGGTGGGCTGGGGTTAGTGTGGTGGGCTGGGGTTAGTGTGGTGGGCTGTGGTTAGTGTGGTGGGCTATGGTTAGTGTGGTGGGCTGGGGTTAGTGTGGTGGGCTGGGGTTAGTGTGGTGGGCTGGGGTTAATGTGGTGGGCTGGGGTTAGTGTGGTGGGCTGGGGTTAGTGTGGTGGGCTGGGGTTAATGTGGTGGGCTGGGGTTAGTGTGGTGGGCTGGGGTTAGTGTGGTGGGCTGGGGTTAGTGTGGTGGGCTGGGGTTAGTGTGGTGGGCTGTGGTTAGTGTGGTGGGCTGTGGGGTTAGTGTGGTGGGCTGGGGTTAGTGTGGTGGGCTGTGGTTAGTGTGGTGGGCTGTGGTTAGTGTGGTGGGCTGGGGTTAGTGTGGTGGGCTGGGGTTAATGTGGTGGGCTGGGGTTAGTGTGGTGGGCTGGGGTTAGTGTGGTGGGCTGGGGTTAGTGTGGTGGGCTGGGGTTAGTGTGGTGGGCTGTGGTTAGTGTGGTGGGCTGGGGTTAGTGTGGTGGGCTGTGGTTAGTGTGGTGGGCTGGGGTTAGTGTGGTGGGCTGTGTTTGTCTGTGTGGTGGGCTGGGGTTAGTGTGGTGGGCTGGGGTTAGTGTGGTGGGCTGGGGTTAGTGTGGTGGGCTGGGGTTAGTGTGGTGGGCTGGGGTTAGTGTGGTGGGCTGGGGTTAATGTGGTGGGCTGGGGTTAGTGTGGTGGGCTGGGGTTAGTGTGGTGGGCTGGGGTTAGTGTGGTGGGCTGGGGTTAGTGTGGTGGGCTGTGGTTAGTGTGGTGGGCTGGGGTTAGTGTGGTGGGCTGTGGTTAGTGTGGTGGGCTGGGGTTAGTGTGGTGGGCTGGGGTTAGTGTGGTGGGCTGGGGTTAGTGTGGTGGGCTGGGGTTAATGTGGTGGGCTGGGGTTAGTGTGGTGGGCTGGGGTTAGTGTGGTGGGCTGGGGTTAGTGTGGTGGGCTGTGGTTAGTGTGGTGGGCTGTGGTTAGTGTGGTGGGCTGTGGTTAGTGTGGTGGGCTGTGGTTAGTGTGGTGGGCTGTGGTTAGTGTGGTGGGCTGGGGTTAGTGTGGTGGGCTGGGGTTAATGTGGTGGGCTGGGGTTAGTGTGGTGGGCTGGGGTTAGTGTGGTGGGCTGGGGTTAGTGTGGTGGGCTGGGGTTAGTGTGGTGGGCTGTGGTTAGTGTGGTGGGCTGGGGTTAGTGTGGTGGGCTGTGGTTAGTGTGGTGGGCTGTGGTTAGTGTGGTGGGCTGGGGTTAGTGTGGTGGGCTGTGGTTAGTGTGGTGGGCTGGGGTTAGTGTGGTGGGCTGGGGTTAGTGTGGTGGGCTGGGGTTAGTGTGGTGGGCTGGGGTTAATGTGGTGGGCTGGGGTTAGTGTGGTGGGCTGGGGTTAGTGTGGTGGGCTGGGGTTAGTGTGGTGGGCTGTGGTTAGTGTGGTGGGCTGTGGTTAGTGTGGTGGGCTGTGGTTAGTGTGGTGGGCTGTGGTTAGTGTGGTGGGCTGGGGTTAGTGTGGTGGGCTGGGGTTAATGTGGTGGGCTGGGGTTAGTGTGGTGGGCTGGGGTTAGTGTGGTGGGCTGGGGTTAGTGTGGTGGGCTGGGGTTAGTGTGGTGGGCTGTGGTTAGTGTGGTGGGCTGGGGTTAGTGTGGTGGGCTGTGGTTAGTGTGGTGGGCTGTGGTTAGTGTGGTGGGCTGGGGTTAGTGTGGTGGGCTGTGGTTAGTGTGGTGGGCTGGGGTTAGTGTGGTGGGCTGGGGTTAGTGTGGTGGGCTGGGGTTAGTGTGGTGGGCTGGGGTTAATGTGGTGGGCTGGGGTTAGTGTGGTGGGCTGGGGTTAGTGTGGTGGGCTGGGGTTAGTGTGGTGGGCTGTGGTTAGTGTGGTGGGCTGTGGTTAGTGTGGTGGGCTGTGGTTAGTGTGGTGGGCTGTGGTTAGTGTGGTGGGCTGTGGTTAGTGTGGTGGGCTGGGGTTAGTGTGGTGGGCTGGGGTTAATGTGGTGGGCTGGGGTTAGTGTGGTGGGCTGGGGTTAGTGTGGTGGGCTGGGGTTAGTGTGGTGGGCTGGGGTTAGTGTGGTGGGCTGTGGTTAGTGTGGTGGGCTGGGGTTAGTGTGGTGGGCTGTGGTTAGTGTGGTGGGCTGTGGTTAGTGTGGTGGGCTGTGGTTAGTGTGGTGGGCTGTGGTTAGTGTGGTGGGCTGTGGTTAGTGTGGTGGGCTGGGGTTAGTGTGGTGGGCTGGGGTTAATGTGGTGGGCTGGGGTTAGTGTGGTGGGCTGGGGTTAGTGTGGTGGGCTGGGGTTAGTGTGGTGGGCTGGGGTTAGTGTGGTGGGCTGGGGTTAATGTGGTGGGCTGGGGTTAGTGTGGTGGGCTGGGGTTAGTGTGGTGGGCTGGGGTTAGTGTGGTGGGCTGGGGTTAGTGTGGTGGGCTGTGGTTAGTGTGGTGGGCTGTGGGGTTAGTGTGGTGGGCTGGGGTTAGTGTGGTGGGCTGTGGTTAGTGTGGTGGGCTGTGGTTAGTGTGGTGGGCTGGGGTTAGTGTGGTGGGCTGGGGTTAATGTGGTGGGCTGGGGTTAGTGTGGTGGGCTGGGGTTAGTGTGGTGGGCTGGGGTTAGTGTGGTGGGCTGTGGTTAGTGTGGTGGGCTGTGGTTAGTGTGGTGGGCTGTGGTTAGTGTGGTGGGCTGTGGTTAGTGTGGTGGGCTGTGGTTAGTGTGGTGGGCTGTGGTTAGTGTGGTGGGCTGGGGTTAGTGTGGTGGGCTGGGGTTAGTGTGGTGGGCTGGGGTTAGTGTGGTGGGCTGGGGTTAGTGTGGTGGGCTGGGGTTAGTGTGGTGGGCTGGGGTTAGTGTGGTGGGCTGGGGTTAATGTGGTGGGCTGGGGTTAGTGTGGTGGGCTGGGGTTAGTAGTGTGGTGGGCTGGGGTTAGTGTGGTGGGCTGGGGTTAGTGTGGTGGGCTGTGGTTAGTGTGGTGGGCTGGGGTTAGTGTGGTGGGCTGTGGTTAGTGTGGTGGGCTGGGGTTAGTGTGGTGGGCTGTGTTTGTCTGTGTGGTGGGCTGGGGTTAGTGTGGTGGGCTGGGGTTAGTGTGGTGGGCTGGGGTTAGTGTGGTGGGCTGGGGTTAGTGTGGTGGGCTGGGGTTAGTGTGGTGGGCTGGGGTTAGTGTGGTGGGCTGGGGTTAGTGTGGTGGGCTGTGGTTAGTGTGGTGGGCTGTGGTTAGTGTGGTGGGCTGTGGTTAGTGTGGTGGGCTGTGGTTAGTGTGGTGGGCTGTGGTTAGTGTGGTGGGCTGGGGTTAGTGTGGTGGGCTGGGGTTAATGTGGTGGGCTGGGGTTAGTGTGGTGGGCTGGGGTTAGTAGTGTGGTGGGCTGGGGTTAGTGTGGTGGGCTGGGGTTAGTGTGGTGGGCTGTGGTTAGTGTGGTGGGCTGGGGTTAGTGTGGTGGGCTGTGGTTAGTGTGGTGGGCTGGGGTTAGTGTGGTGGGCTGTGTTTGTCTGTGTGGTGGGCTGGGGTTAGTGTGGTGGGCTGGGGTTAGTGTGGTGGGCTGGGGTTAGTGTGGTGGGCTGGGGTTAATGTGGTGGGCTGGGGTTAGTGTGGTGGGCTGGGGTTAGTGTGGTGGGCTGGGGTTAGTGTGGTGGGCTGGGGTTAGTGTGGTGGGCTGTGGTTAGTGTGGTGGGCTGTGGGGTTAGTGTGGTGGGCTGGGGTTAGTGTGGTGGGCTGTGGTTAGTGTGGTGGGCTGTGGTTAGTGTGGTGGGCTGGGGTTAGTGTGGTGGGCTGGGGTTAATGTGGTGGGCTGGGGTTAGTGTGGTGGGCTGGGGTTAGTGTGGTGGGCTGGGGTTAGTGTGGTGGGCTGTGGTTAGTGTGGTGGGCTGTGGTTAGTGTGGTGGGCTGTGGTTAGTGTGGTGGGCTGTGGTTAGTGTGGTGGGCTGTGGTTAGTGTGGTGGGCTGGGGTTAGTGTGGTGGGCTGGGGTTAATGTGGTGGGCTGGGGTTAGTGTGGTGGGCTGGGGTTAGTGTGGTGGGCTGGGGTTAGTGTGGTGGGCTGGGGTTAGTGCGGTGGGCTGGGGTTAGTGTGGTGGGCTGGGGTTAATGTGGTGGGCTGGGGTTAGTGTGGTGGGCTGGGGTTAGTAGTGTGGTGGGCTGGGGTTAGTGTGGTGGGCTGGGGTTAGTGTGGTGGGCTGTGGTTAGTGTGGTGGGCTGGGGTTAGTGTGGTGGGCTGTGGTTAGTGTGGTGGGCTGGGGTTAGTGTGGTGGGCTGTGTTTGTCTGTGTGGTGGGCTGGGGTTAGTGTGGTGGGCTGGGGTTAGTGTGGTGGGCTGGGGTTAGTGTGGTGGGCTGGGGTTAGTGTGGTGGGCTGGGGTTAGTGTGGTGGGCTGGGGTTAGTGTGGTGGGCTGGGGTTAATGTGGTGGGCTGGGGTTAGTGTGGTGGGCTGGGGTTAGTGTGGTGGGCTGGGGTTAGTGTGGTGGGCTGGGGTTAGTGTGGTGGGCTGTGGTTAGTGTGGTGGGCTGGGGTTAGTGTGGTGGGCTGTGGTTAGTGTGGTGGGCTGGGGTTAGTGTGGTGGGCTGGGGTTAGTGTGGTGGGCTGGGGTTAGTGTGGTGG